AACTTCCCCATCAATGAAAATAGTGTATGTGGGGGAGAGTGCAGAAAAAAGACAAAAATGAGTCTGTAGAGCATCTCTGTATGGTCAACTAAGAATCAACTTTTAAGATAGAGAACTTTGGCCATTACCAAATTTTAAATGTAATAGTCACTTCACAGGTTTGGGTAAGACTTATTTGTCACACACTGGTGCAGAAGGAGTCATTTAGGATTTTAAGTTCACTCAAAGAGAAAGTACTTGGTGTAGGCTCTGTAACTCAAATGGACTCTGTTATCCTTGAAGAGACCTTGTGACAGGGTGAACAAAAAATCTCCTACATCTGAAAGCAAAGCAGCAAACAATTCAACATTTAACCTATATATGCTCTGCTGGAGCAATCCTTCCCCCATGTTTTTGTAGTCTTAACACCATTCTAAGGTTAGCTGGAGCTTTTAGTACCCGAGTCAAAGCTTTCCCTCATTACTGAACAAAGATTTTTGACAAACAACAAAATAACAATAAAATATATATATATAAAAAAGAACATCTACAACAATCCTGCTTTGCTATAAATGCAAGTAAGTCTAAATGTGAGAAAAAAAATAAAAAATAAAAAGGCAAAACAAAACCTTGCAGCACTGCACTTCAAGGACATATCACAATGCAGTCTCTATCAAAATTCTTACAATGAGCACTTGACGAGAGGAGGGAGGGGAAAGGCAGCAACCATTTTCTTGCTGGACTAAAAAGACTTGAGAAATTTTGTGATAAGGCCTAGGATGGCTGCTTTGCAAAGGTTTCAGCAGTGGAGTAGGGAAACTTGGCGTCTGGGGCTGTGTACGTGGAAAATAAAGTGACCAGCAGATGGAAAGCTGAAGATCAGAGATTTGGATGAAATTCTAACAAATTTTAAACTGTAAACTGGAGAAAGACAAGCTCCTTCCCCTCAACACCCACGTTCCCCACCCCCCCTATCCTCTTCCCCCCCCCCAAAAAAGAAGAAGAAAAAAAAAAATCTGCTACCTTTTGCGTTTGCATCATATCAGCACCTTGGGTCTTTCCAGAGCAAATCATCAGTCACTATGAAAACTTAGGTGGGATGTTTGTGTGAGACACGTTACCCTTTGTTACGGAGCTAAGCTGAAACCACAAGACTCATTTCACTCAGAACCTCAAAATATACCCAACCCTACGGAACTCACCCAAAATGTTGCAAGACCCCCACTGTAACGTGAAGTCTAATCTCTAAAAAACTCCATTACAGGGCAATGTAGCATCCGTTAAAAACTTGCTGTGAGTCCCCCAAATCACCACCTTCTTGAGGAGAAAGTAACACAGACCGGGTGCTTGCCTTCAGGTTTCAGAGACAGCAGGCTGTATCACAGAATCAGAGAATCACAGAATGGTTTGTGTTGGAGGGGACTTCAAAGCCCACCCCTTCCCAACCCCAGCAGTGGGCAGGGCTGTCCCTCCCAGCTCAGGCTGCCCGGGGCCCCATCCAACCTGGCCTTGAGTGCCTGCAGGGATGGGGCACCCACAGCTTCTCTGGGCAGACTGTAGCTTGAATGCATTTTCCAGCTTTTCATGCCCATCGATGCTGCCCTTTTCTCAACAAAACTCTCCGAAAGGGAGACTAGAGGAAAGCTGGGAAACAGCACAAGATTTGAGTTGTTCCTTCTGATTGATGGCACCTGAGTGCCCATGTTGTAAGGGTGGGCTGTTCCCCAGAACTGGGTCTGCACTGGTGGGGTCTAGAGGTCCCAGAGCAGTGGTGCTCCGAGCCATTTGCTTCCAGCAGGCCTATGCCATACAGACACTGCTGAGGACCCTGCAGCAATGCAGACAAACAAGGGACAGAAAATGGACGCCTGCCCACAAGTGGGAGCCATGCACCTCTGCAACCTGTCTGGTTGCAAGAAAAGATTAAAAATAAATAAACAACTAAAACAGATGAAACTTAGGCCACTGTTCTTTGAGCTGTGCTCAGAAACACTCTTTGAAGGAAGAGTGCCTTTCTTAAAATATATTTGAATGTGCTATTTTTGTCTTTATCTTAGAAGGCCTGATTTCCCCTTACAGCCCTGCAATTGATGACAATAATAGGTTTCTCGGAGCCAGTCAAGTCAGAGAAGTTTTATACCTTCATATGTGGCAACCCATGCAGAGTTTGCTGCCTTCATTTTTTTAGTGCCAAATGCAGCTCCCCATCCCACCACACTGACAGGCACAGCAATCCAGCTGCTCACTGCCACTGCTGGTGCTGTTCAACGCGCATAAGTATATGAGTGCCTGGAAGCCAAGACCTAGCAGAACTGATGCCTGCGCTTGCAGATGTGGCTATCTCCATTGCAGAGGTGTGGCAGAGGCAAAAGGATTACCCTGATTTTAGAGGCAGAAAAATATGCCATTCTGATCACAGTTCTTCATTGGAAGCTATGCAGTATCAAAAAAGGCTTAAAAGAGGAAACAAATTGTTGCCCCATCCCCAGTTACTTTGCATCTATCAAACACAGGGGGGTTTTTTGTTTGTTTGTTTGGTTTTTTTTAAGTATTTCTAAGGAAGCTCAAATGAAACTGCCTTATCTCGCAAGTTGCTATGACACATCATAAAGAGACAGCCTTCCAGCACCAGAATCACACAGTGACACCACAGATCCCAGGGCCACTCTCCCTCAGTTCACCGCTGTCTTTACAGTACTGGGAAAGGGGAGGAAGGCCCTCACCAAGCAACTTTCTTAGAGACGTATATTCCCTGCTAGGTTGGAATAAACCAAAAATTACAATAATAGTTTAAAACATCCACAGCAGAATATTATCTCACTGCTTTACAAAACCTGTAGTACACTACATGATTGTTTTTTTTATATACTTTTCTCACACTCATTACCAGATGCTAAATTACAATCCTAGTTTACAAAAGCAAACCTCCCTATATCCCTGGAAACGGACCAAAGAAGCACATGCAATGGAATTCTGAGCTTAAAATCTAGGAAGTCCCTCTTCCTACGCAGCCCTGTTGAGTGCTTCCAAAAAGCAAAGTAACCTGAAAGGACTTGCTCTATGGTCCTAGGCCCAAATCAGGGGCACGTGATCGGCGGAGGCCAGCAACACGAAGTGAGTATCACACGGAGATTTTATTCAGCCTCCAAACGTAATGTGAGTCAGTGTTAGATAGGGAGGTTACTCATGCTATGGTTACTCACAGGACCCTACCTGGCCCCACTGTGCCCAGGGCAGGGCATGCATCAATGGCAGGGCTGCCGAATGCCACCCTTACCACTGTACCTACAGGCTGAGCACACACTCTGTGCCCAGGCTGGCAACCACGGTGAAACCCATGTGATCATTCAAGTTGAATTACTCATATTTGAGCTATCTAGACATGCTGGTTTGACTGACGCCCTCATAATGCAGCTCAGCCCCTTGCTGGAGTCTCCCAACTTCAGAAACTTGATCTACTTATCAGCTGGAGCAGAAAGGATCATAAAAGCATTTATGTGCAACAAAAGCTTGGAGTGTAGCATGTAGGAGCCTCTCCTTCTTCCAAAGTACGTGAGATCATTAGCTATAGAAGAAAAATGCACGATATGTTTTCTTCATATGAAAAAATTGCTTATCTAAATTCTAACTTAACAGTCCATTTGGCATGACCTTCCTTTATGAATTACAAGGCCACAGGTTAACTTCCACAATATATATGCACAGGTGGAGCATTGATGAAGCAGCACTTGGGATGTTAAAATTCAAACCTCAGTTAAGGCTCAGAAAGGCAGATAACAATGAATCACAGATTCATATCCTGAGTTGGAAGGGATCCACAAGGATCACCGAGTCCAAATCCTGGCTTCACACAGCAACACCCAAAAATCAGACCCCATGTTTGAGAACATACCAGGAACATCATGCCACATCCCCACAGCAGGTGGCAAAGTGAAATGGGCATTTCTAGGGAAACACTGTCTTATCAGAAACATAGTGGTGACAGCACATCCTCCAGTCAAGGAAGGAGGCAGTCCCAGCAAGGTACCCGCAGGCCAGCTGGGATGCAGGGCAGCAGGAGCAGCGGGGCAAGGCCCAAACTGGCCTGGAGGGCTCTCTGCAGCACATACAGCAGAATCACAACTGTCAGAGATATAAAACTTCACCCTTGTGATTACCTGCCTAACACGCAATTAAGTGCTTTGCAGCCTTTTCCGTAAGTAGTTCAGCTGTGGATCACTGTATCCATTTCACTGCTATTAGATTAGTCTGTTAAAACCTATGAACATCACTGGTGTTGGTCATGCTCGGCACGGCTGTGCCGGGACACGACAAGAGGTTGGATGCTACTGGGTGAGCTCGTCGGCATCACCAAGTTTCACACCTTGGCTATTACAGCCTGAGCGGCAGGCACGAAACCGATCTGAGAAGCCGGCAGAGGATGAGTAGGCATTATCCACTTACTGACTGGTGAACTGCCAGTTCATTTCACTTGCAAATCATCCCTCCGGTACTTAAGCATCTGGCTGGCAGCTTTTGGTCATTACCCCGTACTGTGACAGCACACAAAACCCAGCCGTCCCGCACTCCAGCAGTTTCCCATTCTAGGGGGAGAGCAGAAATCACTCCCCACTACTGCGAGCCACCTCCGCACCGCGGCCAGTCGGACGCCGCCACCTCGCGCGGGGACACGCGCGGGTCCCCTCGGCGGCGCGGGGGACACGTACACCCCGCCCGGCCCCGCACGGTGACAACTTCCTCGCGGCCGCTCCGCGCCTCCCTCCCTCCCTTCCTCCCGCCGCTCCGCGCGGCTCTACCGCCGGCCCCGCCCGGAGCAGCCCGCCGCAGCGGGCAGGTAGGGGCCGGGCAGCCCCCGCCGCGGCCCTGCGGGGAGGAGGAGGATGAGGCGGCTGCGGGCAGGGCCTCGGCGCTGCGGACTGAAAGTGAGCTGCAAACTTTTTTTTTTTTTTTTTTTTTTTTTTCAATTTTGCAAGCGAAGCCCCAGCTCATGCAAAAATGAAACTTGCGAAGCGCTGCCCTACCTGGCGCCAAGTCTGCAACAAGTGCACGGGGGCCGGCACGAGGGGCTCTGATTTTTCTCTCTTTTGGGCGCCCCGCGAGAGACCGCACAGTTAATTGATCACCGCGCCGCCGGGGCCGGGTCCTACTTTACTTACGGCGCAGCCCGTAAACAAATATCGCTCCGCCAGGAAACGCAACTCCCCCGGCCCGCACGGCCCGGCTCCGCCGCCAGCACCCGCCCCGGCCCCCGCCCGCCCGGCACATGGCGGGTCCGCGCCCCGCGGGGAGGCTGCGGAGCGGTCGCTTACCTCCGGCACGGCCTCCCGCGGCGGCTCCGGCCGCGCCGCCCTTCCCTCGCCCGTGATGCACGAAATCCCGCTGTCAGCAAATCGCTGTCAAATTATTTTCTCGCAAAAG